ATTGGGGTGGTGAGGCAAACCCCATCTGTCCACAGGTCTCGTCTCATCTGCAATTCATCCATCCATTCATCCATCCACTCACTGATTCGTTCGTTCTCCAGCCTTGTACAGCCTTGCTGGGTGCTGGAGGTGAGAGTGGGAGCGAGAGCCCTGCCCTCGCAGGGCTGTGGGCAGGCATCACCACACAGCATGTCAGCTCTTAGATGGGGGAACCTCGGGGGTACTACAGGCCTGGGAAGGCAAGGAAGATTTCCAGAGGTGACATACTGGGGGGGGTTGAAGGGTGCCTAAGAGTCAGCCAGGTGCAAAAGGAGACATGTGCTAGAGACCTGCGACCAAAAGGAACGTGCTGTCTGGGGCACTGCGAGGTCTATGTGGCTAGAGGGCAGTCATGGAATGGAGTGGAGACAGTGGAGGAGGGCAGTCCTGGGAAGACAGCAGAAGCCTCAGGCAAGGCGAAAGCTGTCTGATTTTCAGAAGGTGAGTCTGATGAGATGTGGAGAATGAATAGGAGGGGAGGAGACTTGAAGCCCTGGACTGGCCGGGTCTTGCTGGAGTCATCTAGATGTGCTGGGGCCCTAAGGGTGGCTTTGGGAGGCTAGGAAGCAGAGTCCCACATCCAGCTTTTCTCTGACCCCTGTGCCACTGCAGCTGTCAAAGGGAGACTGAGGAGTGTTTAGTGAAAGAAAGATGCGTGAGCTGGGGGAAGGGGACCACAGGCGCAGTCAGAATCCACACAGCTGGCCACACCAGGGAGCCTTCGCTCCAGGCCTGCAGGGGCAGAGGAGGAGAGCACTGTGCTGCCCAGAGTGGGGCCTGGAGAGGGCTGACCAACAGCAGCGTGGTTGCAGGAACTCAGCCTCTGCCAACCCGCAGCCTGGCAGTGAGGAAGCCGGGGGAAGAAATGCCCCGGCATCTCTCCCCTTCTGCCCTCTGGCCCTACCAGGGCCTCCTGCTGGCCAGTCCCAACCCAAAGCAGAGAACAAGGGAGTCTAGGTGATGCCTTTGGCAGAGATCAGCCTCTGGGGCAAGTGCAAGTTGAAGGAGACTAGGGAGTGATATGAAGGGGCAGGGAGAGAAAACCCAGTACACCCAGCATGGGAATCCTGTCCGTCCATTTGTTTTTCTGTCTGTGTGCCCATCAGTCTGTCTGTCCATCATCTTGGCATCCTTGTGTGTCTGAGGCCTCATGAAGTTGATTAGCTTCATGAAGTTGATTAGCTTGGGGTGGTGGGCTCTGCCCCCACCCCAAGCCATGAGGACCTGCCTGTTACAGAGGACTGGGAGGCAGAAGGATAAGCCTGTGGGAGGGGGCTTTCTTGGGGAGTCTGAAGCTGGTTCAGGAGGGAGCCCGTAGCCAGTCTCCTCTAGGAAGTGCCAGGGCTGGCCAGTCAAGGCCCTCAGTGTGGACGTGTCCCTCCCTGCTGCTGGGGGGACTCTGGACCTCCCTTCCCTCCGTTCCCGCTGCAGTTGGTGCCTCTGTGTTGCAGACTCCCTGGGTGGGGGCTCCGAGGGCCCGTGTTTCTGCCCCACTCCCTGCAACCTGACGCGATATGGGAAGGAAATCTCCATGGTCAGGATCCCCAACAGGGGCTCAGCCCGGTACCTGGCGAGGAAGTACAACCGCAACGAAACCTACATCCGGTAGGGTGTGTGTGTGTGTGTGTGTGTGTGCGTGTGTGTGTGTGTGTGTGTGTTTTGGAGGCTGGGAGGGGGCTGCATCTTTATGAAGAGTCTTCTGCCTGGAGCGCCTTTCACAGCTCGTTTCTTCTAACTAACCCCTACCCATCGTTCAGATCACATTCTGCCTCTCCATCTCCAGGGAAACATGTCAGGTCCACACGTTTTCATCAGAGCTCACAGCACCCTGCACATGTCTCCATCTACACATACCCTGTTGTTTTGTTTTATTTTATTTTATCTATTTTTTTGAGTCAGAGTTTTACTCTCACTCAGGCTGGCTGGAGTGCAGTGGCACATTCATGGCCACCTCAGCCTTCCAAGTAGCTGGAACTACAGGCATGTACCACCACATCCGGCTAATTTTTTTTTTTTTTTCCTTTTTTTTTTTGAGTTGGAGTCTCACTCTGTCGCCCAGACTTGAGTTGGAGTCTCACTCTGTCGCCCACTCCTGGCCACCGCAGCCTCGACCTGCTGGGCTCTGGCGATCCTTCCGCCTCAACCTTCCAAGTAGCTGGAATACAGGCGCGCACTACCACACCCGCCTAATTTTTGATTTATTGTAGAGATGAGGTCTCACCAAGTTGCTCAGGATGGTCTTGAACCCCTGAGCTCAGGCAATCCTCTCGCCTCTGCCTCCCAAAGCGCTGGGATTACAGGCATGAACCACTGCGCCCAGTGACCATGTTGTTTTAGAACCTTTGCTCATGTGTTTCTCTCCCCCTCCTGGGAGGAGGGACCGGATGGTGTGGGAGAGGAACAAAGCGGTCCTCAGGCGGAGGCAGGAGGGGCTGCACTGAGCCTTGGGTCTGGTACTCAACAGCCAATTAACACGTGCTGAGCATGGTCTGGGTGTCAGGCCTAGTGCCGGGCCCCGTGGGGACAGATGATCACACAAAACCCATGCCACAGCTTGTGAATGAGTCCTCGTTTGATGGTGTGGTTAATGATTTTCAGGCCCTGGTGTGGGAGGGAAGCAGGGGAGGTGTGAACTGGGCCTCTGAGGACCCTGGGTTTGGGTCCCTTAGAGGAGGAGTAGCGGGGACAACCGGTTAGAGAACTGTGGGCTGGTGTAGAGGAAAGCTGGGTGAGAATGCAGTGGGACAGGTCAGGGGGCAGCTTTGGAAGTCGAGAGGGGAATTTTGGAGTGGACCGAAGGGCAGTAGGGAGCCACTGATGGGTCTACAGAGGCATGAGGCTGAGTGAACATTATTTGCTGCTTTAGAGGAAGCAGGAGGGAATCCTTCAGGTCTAGGGATTTTATATTGCTCTCCTGGGCCCTTTGCTACCCCTCCACATCTGAAGCTGATACACACCTGGGACTGCCTCCCCTCACAGCCTCTGGGAGCCCGAGGGGGTGGTCCAGCTTCCCAGTGCAGGGGTCTCAGATCACAGCCTGCTGGATCTGCACTGTCTTCTCAGGAAGAGTGGCCCCACATGGACACCCCGCTTCCTGTCTCCGCAGGGAGAACTTCCTGGTCCTAGATGTCTTTTTCGAGGCTCTGACCTCTGAAGCCGTGGAGCAGCGAGCAGCCTATGGCCTGTCAGCCCTGCTGGGTGAGACCCGGCCCGGCCCAGCCCCAGCTTGCGTGGGTGTGTGTGGGCCCAGCCTGCTCCCTCTGACCTGCTTGCCTGCTCCCCAGGAGACCTCGGGGGACAGATGGGCCTATTCATCGGGGCTAGCGTCCTCACGCTGCTTGAGATCCTCGACTATGTCTATGAGGCAAGGGACCCGGGGGAGTGGAGGGTGGGAGCAGAGGCTGTGGGAAAAGCAGAGGGGGCAGTGCAGGCTTCATGGTGGAGTTGTTCTGGCTGGGAGTAAGCACGGGGTTCTTCGCCAGGGTTCCCTGATTGGCTGGATGGCCAGAGGGCTCTAAGGAGTCAGGAGATGGGGACGGGTGAGGTTGGGGGTGTCCTAATGGAGGTTTGCTGTGGCAGCGAGTCCCCTAAGTTGGGCCTTCGTCTCCTTGACCAAATTTCCTGAGCCCACTTCTGACCCTCACCCTGAACCCCAAGGTGTCCTGGGACCGACTGAAGAGAGTATGGCGGCGTCCCAAGACCCCCCTGCGGACCTCCACTGGAGGCATCTCCACTTTGGGGCTGCAGGAGCTGAAGGAGCAGGTGAGGACAAGCTCTGTGGAATATGCAGCCAGCACCCTCTCCGGGGCTGAATACTCCATCCCCCAGTTTCCGGCAGGAGGGGCGGAGCCTCTGCCCCTGGGAACAAGGCAAAGGTTGGCTGCGCAAAGCTTGGGAGCACCATTTGAGCTGTCCCACTCCCTCTTTATCTTGCAGAGTCCCTGCCCGAGTCGGGGGCGTGCTGAGGGTGGGGGGGCCAGCAGTCTGCTCCCCAACCACCACCACCCCCACGGCCCTCCAGGAAGCCTCTTTGAGGATTTCGCTTGCTAGGATGGTGCTGTCTGAAAGGACCCAGGAGTCTGGGACCCCCTCTCCAGATCGCCAGCATCCTAAATATCTCCTCCTGCTCCTGGGACATCACTGGGCTGAGGGGAGGGGGTGGTGCTCACTGGGGGCCAGGACTGTTCCTGCTCTCCCGCTCTGGTGTCAGCTGCTCTGCACAGGGTCCTTCTCGTTCACTCCCCACCCCAGGGCTGGTGCCCAGCGAGGTCTGGAGCTGACTATGGACTCCTGCGGAGGAGAAGGAAGGAAAGGAGAGGGGAGGGGGAGGAGAGAGCCACTCTGGTCGGGGCGGAACCCTGTGTACATTTGTATATACTTAGGGAGGACTGGGTGGGGGTGGGGTACCGACTTAGAAGGTGGGTGGGGCTACACGGGTGGGTGATTCAGGGTTGGCCAGGGCCCCAGCCCCAATGTCAGCAGGAGAGGGGAGCCCCTAGGATTCAGGAGTGCTGGG